TGAATTACTAACATCCTATTTTCCCTCCACATTCTGTTAATATATTGGATTCATTGGCATTTGACCTTAGGCTACCAGATTATGAGGAACTACCTCTGGTCCTGACCAAAAGGAATTCATATCACCCAGGAGATCCCAAACAAGGGGATGGACTTTTTGGAACTACCCACTTGCTTCCTGGACAGTCCCACCTTCTTTCCTGAAGAACAATACTGAACTCTAGAGTCATCAGTATCTCAGTCCAATTCCACCTCATCATAGTTTGTAAAACTTTAAAATATCTAGCTAATTAATGGCACCTTCCTGTTTTCCATCATTCATACTATCTTTTAATCTTAATATTTATTTGATATTTTGATGTAATTTTAATGGGAGAAATACAAGTTAAATGAATGCGTTCGAATTGCCATTTTGAAAAAGAAGTACAGTTCCTTCATTTTTAAAGCTTTTTTTTACAATTTTATTTTAAAATTTCTGTTCTTAACCATTTTAATTTTTAATCTTGAGTTTTCATTTTCTTCATTCTTTTCATAAGTTTGCATCACTTTCTCCCTGTGATTTGCCTTCATTGAAACAGCTGCCTTGGTAGTGGCATTGGAGAAGCTCCAAACAAAAACAGCCAGGAAACCATCTCCTCGTCAGCAGCGGTGGCTGCTCCCTTAGAATATTCACCATTCGTTTCAATGGCAGCTAAACAATAATGATTCTCCTTGTGCCCTGAACTTCTGAAATGCTGCTGTTTCTTGGTTTCCTGAACCACGTTAAGTCTTTTTATGAAAAACCACTGTCAGTGGCATCCAGTATATATTAATAACCATTGGATCTGGAACAGACTGTGTCAACAATATGCCCCTTGATAGCACATGAACTTTGGTTACCCCAGGGAGGAACTCATATCTCAAAGACACAGCCCTTACTTTGTTGAGGAACCAAATGATGCTGTGTAAATTCAGAAGAGGATAAAATTCTTGGCACATCATCTGCCTGCCTCGGATGCAGTTAATTCTCTTAAAGCAGGTTTGCAAGTGTACTGGGTTGGTATGAGATATTGACCGGGATCTTTACTAAACTCAAGGAGTTACCAGATGGAGCAGGAATAACAGACAGCAGCACCGATTTTCCCTGAGCCCAGTTTTAAGAAGACGGCATTTCAGGCAGTAGACTCACCAGGCTTTCCCAGTAATGGGAAAAGTCAAGCTGATTTAGGTTTCACGAGCACCAGATATAAGAGGTCTGAGAGTAAGAAGTGGGAAAGTTAGAGTTTGTGGCGCAGTAACTATCCTTTCCCTCTCCCATTTACATGGGGGAGGAAAAGATTTGACATTAGCACTTCATTTCCCTTTCTACAAGACTAAGGGTGCCCTCTATCCCACTACACTGGAAAATAGTGATTGTTTCTTTTCCGAAATTTGCTAAACCACTGGACCTGCTAGCACTTCATTTTCCTCAGACAGGGAAAAAGAGGCATGATAAGAAGAATGAAGCTAGAGAGGGGAAGTATGTGGAGGAGAGTTGACATTCTCATTATTTAGCGTAAAACTACACAAACTGATACCATGGAAAGTGGCAAGACTTAAGCAGACTTGTTAATAAGACGGCTACTACCCTCCCAATGATGGAGTGATTAAGCCCAATCATCTTGCACGAGCAAACTCATGTGTCCTTGCCATCCCAGATAGTGAGGATCCAAGAGATAGGGACTATGGACTAGACTGTCTCCAGAGTTCAGCAGGTGAGAAGAGAAAGAGGTGAGACTCTCCCAAGCCAGGGGACTATCATAGGGAGCTCCTAATGAGCTCTCATGGGACAGTAACTGCAACCAAATGTGCTAGAGAAGAGCTGGCATTTGGACACTTGCCTCATGGATGAAGCCAACAGAAATGTCAAGACAACAGACAACAGAATGCAAGGAGACCTTGATTTGTTATCCCTCTCTGGGTGTTGCTAGAATACCCTTTTAGCAGCCAAATGATGTCAATGCTGGATCACATGCATGGGCAGTTTTCATTCTCTCCCAAGTTTTGTTCACCATTAATTATGATAAAGCTGATGTTTGGACCCTCATTGAGGAAGATTAAAAAAAAAAAAGCTAATGTTGCTGTCAACATTTCTTATATACAAAGTGTGATTGGAAAATGAAAAATAAACCCCAGAAAAGAAAATGTGAATCAAAAAGAAAATTGATTGAAAAGGGCCAAAAAATCCAATCCTTTAGAAATAAAGTGAGAACTAAGTTCGTTTGACAGAAATATATTTAAAAATGAGGCTGGTCACGGTGGCTCACGCCTATAATCCTAACACTCTGGGAGGCCAAGGCGGGTGGATCGTTTGAGCTCAGGAGTTCGAGACCAGCCTGAGCAAAAGCGAGACCCCATCTCTACTAAAAATAGAAAGAAATTAGCTGAACAACTGAAACTATATAGAAAAAATTAGCCGGGCATTGTGGTGCATGCCTGTAGTCCCAGCTACCCGGGAGGCTGAGGCAGGAGGATCACTTGAGCCCAGGAGTTTGAGGTTGCTGTGAGCTAGGTTGACACCACGGCATTGTAGCCCAGGCAACAGAGTGAGACTCTGTCTCAAAAAAAAAAAAAATGAAGGGGGTCTAGGTACCCAAGATACCAAAAGAAAAGGCAAAAAGTGTGCCTGTCAACTCTGTTGTTTTGAAGACAGGGGACTGTAGGAGAGAAAAAGTAATATCTTTTCCTTGCCCATCATAAGGTTCATGGCTGACACTCACCATTAAAGACAGATTAACAAGAGAAAAAGCATAACAAATTTATTTAATATAGGTTTTATATAGCATGAGAACTGTCAAAAATGAAGGCCCAAAGATCCAGAGAAAACTGGATTTTTATAGACAGTCATGCAGAAATATGATTGGTGGACAAAAGGTATATGATCTGATGGTAATAAACTGGGGGGAACTTAGTAAAGCCTGTTTGTTCAGATTCTTCTTGACCTCCAGATATAGGGCAGGACCCCCGTGGAATGAGGGTCTTTTGAGGGGAGACAGGAGAGAGAGTTCTTTTATGGCCTGCTTCAGAGAAGAAAGGCAAGAGAAGATCAGAGTGACCTTCCTGTTTCTGAGGGTTTCTCAATTTCCTTCAGCTTCAAATACTCAGTATGCCATATTTTGGGGTGTTGTGTTCTGAGCCCCAACAAGAGCAAGAAGTAGTAAACTCTCTATGTGAGAAAGGCAAAGAAGCTGGGTTTTAGTCAGGAATCCAGCCTAAAACGGACTTTTTACTGTTTCAGATAGCCTTGTTAGAACCATCTACAGTGACAAAGATCTAGCTTTTCTACAGTTACCTAGTTCACCTTGCTCTTGGGCCATCAAACAAGCTTGTCTATAACACTAACCGGAGACAAGCCGAAAAAGCAGATGTTGGCCCAGAAGAAAGTTGTTGGCCAATAGGATTTCTCCACCCAGAGACCACATGGCCACATTAAGCAGGTATTAATACTGCCACTACCTACTTATTGCCACTACCTACGTGGAGAACAAGAATACTCAGCAAATCGTGACTGTACATGACAGGAATCCTAATCTTTATTTTTTCTTGCTCACCTTGTCCATAAAATCAAGGTTCCCTACTACACAAGTGGAAGGTTAGACTGGGCCACAGGAAGACCTGCACCAGTCTCACTTTGTCACGGCTTGACTGAAAAGACATCTGGCTGAGCTGGTAGAGGCCATCAGAACTAATTAGAGTGATAGTTATTATAAGATCTGACATCACTGGGAGGCAAGGACCTAGGTCCAAATTCTGTGATTCACAATGCCAGGCTGGAAAAGAAAAAGGCTCAAGAGCTTGCTATAAAACTAGTTTAAATATACTCAGTTAATTTCTCTGTAAATAAAAATAAAACATCCCTTTAAAACAAAAAAAGCCATTGAGGCGTTAGAACCAGATGTAACGTCCCATCATCCAAAAAAAGGTTATGGTATAAAAGCACATTCACAAAAAATCTTTGGAATATTTGGGACTTCACTGAAAATGAATGTTGTTTAATTTCTAAAGGTTGCAGAATCCATTTTCCATGTTCTAAGGAGTCAGGAAGCAGCAGTAAACTTCTCAGTCTGTACTACTGATTCTAACAGGAGTCAACTATCTGAACCAGATGATAGGTCTGACTTTTCTCAGTATTACAAATCATGAAAAAAAAAAAAAAAAACTTCTGTAGACTTTGTGGACATTAGTAGGTTATTGCTGGCCTGGTGAAAAGAAGCTTATGCTGTCAGAATGCTTTTAGCTGCAAGTTTGTGTGTATGTCAACTTCTAGAACCAACTCAAATTGGCTTTAAACATAAAAAAATTTACTATCTTACATAACAAGAAATTGGGAAGCAGGGCAGTTCAAGTATTGCCTACCTTGGGGGCTCTACAATGTCTTAGGCATCCCGGTTCTTTCTCTCCTCTGTGCTGCCATCCCCAGCACATTGTTTCTTGTCCTCAGGATTATCCCCATCTAACAACAGGTAGAAATTTGCCATTCTTTATTACCAGGAAGGGACTAAGTGACCTCCTCTTGTAGCACTGCCCCAAATTCACAAGCAGTTAGAAAACAGCGGGGAGAAAACAGCCTCAGACATAAAGTATAAAGAATTCCTTTATTATAAATAATGAAAGATGATAAAACTGAAAAAATAAATGAATATTCTCTTTAAACAAAAATCAAATATGGCTGCCCAAAATAACCAAAGTAACACAATGGCCAATAGTTAAACTTTCTCTTCAAACATTAGCAATGCATATATAAATCCTTCAGTTTGGTAACTTTTTATAGAATGCTTCATTTTCCTAAAAGCATATTACATTAATTATAATTTATTTAAATTGTGATATTACACTTATCATAATCATCTCTTTAATATTTACATACCATTAAACTACAACTTTCATCATTTGGGGAAATTTCCATTTTGACTCAATGAAAGTGTCCATATATTTACATATTTTACTCTTCAGAGCAGATCACCTCTAGATCTCTTGGATATTTCACTCTTTTCTACGAAAGTGTATGCGACTTATAAGTTCTCTGAATTTCAGTATTAAGGAGTAGTTATTCATGTTGTCTTTCCATATTTCATAAGTCCTTCTAAGTTTGTCATAATAACTTTCTTTTTTCAAGTTGAGATCTGATCCAGTTGTTTTTAAATAACTGTCTTTTGTCCATATTTCTCTCCAGGAATCTTTGAGTTTTTCCAAATAGTTTTCTTTTTCAGATTCTTCCTTCCATATTCCTTCTCTTTTTTTTAAGGCTGTTAATTCAGCTTTAAGCAAGTTTCTATGAATTGTCCAATAGATTTTAGAATCATAATTAAGGCCTTTAACAAGAACAGTTTTGCCAAGGCCTCTTCTCAAAATTTCTTCATTGAGACTCGCGCTAAAATATCCTCCCTTGAATTAAAAAATAACACAAACCAATTATTTAAGAAAACTGTTATTATACCCACAACATCTTATTTGCCTTAAAATCAGTCATGCAGCACTATTGGTCCTCCAGAGAAAAGCCAAACATTTAAAACAAAAAGGTCCCCAAGAGCTTAAAAACAGCTTTTGCTAAATCCAAGAACTTTATTACTAGAAGAGACCCTTGCTCAAAGTCAATTGACTCTTTTATAACATAGAATTCTCCACAGACTCACTGTTCTCTTAACTCAAAGGAGCTTTGAAGCAATAAAGTATAAAAAGCATTTTTTTGGTTTGTTGGTTGTTTGTAGGGGGAGTGAGGCACACAAGATAGGCCCAAAGACAGGAGACCACAGTAAAAGAAACTAAGGGAAACTATATAAACTAAAAAAGTAGTCAAATACAAAATGAACTGAATCATCTCTCAACTATTAAATTAAGTTCAGAATTCCAGTGTTTAGGACAGCACTGTAATGTAAATACATTTTTAAAAGACTTCCACCAAAATAATTAACATAAAAATAGTCCTGGCCCTTGAATCTTCATCCTTCAGGAAATTTCACTCATCGAATACTTCACTTCCTAATGAAACCAGATAAAAGGGACTTTTTTCCCTCACTGATTCACAGTATAAAGGAGATTCTGCTTAACTATTTCCACAGTCCTTGTGGGATTTTAATCTAACAAAATTAATCTTAAAGTATTAATAATTTAATAGCTTCATTAGATAAGTAATTCACAGTTAAATTCTAAAAATGTGAAAACTCCAAGTTTAAACTAGGAGACATTTTCTATGACCATCTAGAGGAACAAAGTAATCTTTAAAACATTTTATTAAATAAAAAATTTAAAAATAAATTTTTTTCCTTCAAATTTAGTAATTTTGGTACATAATTATAAGGAGTTAGTCATAAAGGGTTTATCACATTTTTCTCAATCTTTGAAATTTTATAAGCTCATTCTTTTGAATCAAAATCAGAATTAAAAGTCAACCTCACATATTAATAAAATTCAAATAGGGGAAGTAAATGATCACAATATGCATATAGCATAATTTGGTCACCTAGGAAGCAATATAAGTTAAAGATATGTAAGATGAAATGTGGACTTGGGAACCAGGAAGAGTTAGGCTCAAACACAGGCTCTTCCAATTGGTTACCCTGGTCAAGACAATTATCTTCCCTAAGTGTCCCTCCCTCCTGTAAATGGGAATAAAAACAGTAACTCCTTAGGGTGGTTCTGAGGATAAGTGAAATAACATAAGCATAGCAGTTAGCTCAGTGTCTGGCACATGGCAAACACTCAGAATATTGTTACAGCAAGTGGTCCTGAGGACAAACCCCGCGGCACACAGAGAATCGGAGAATCAGTTTATTCGCCGGCGGGCTCAGAAGGGCCTTGTCACCAAATTCTGAGCCCCGTCTACCTGATTTTTCCCACTTTTATTAAGTTGTGGTCGTCTGGGGAGTAGGGTGTCAGGTGGTTAATGCCCGCCAGGTAATAGGTTAGTTGATGTGTCAGATAATAGATTTAGTATTATGCAGATGCGCCAGGTAGTAGATTTAGTGTTATGCTGATATGCCAGGTAATAGATTAGTCGATGGGCCAGGTAATAGTCTTCCCTGAGGAGTGGGGGTCTCAGGTGGCTGTTGTGCCAAGTAACAGATGGGGGTTTTCCTTATCAATATATCGTTATTATCGTCATATACATCTCCTTTTTTGGTAATTGTACTCTTTGACTTAAAAAAGAAGCTAATATTTTATTTTTGTAAGGGTTTTGGGATGCTTTATATAACTTTGTATTATTAACTTACTTTTAAACATAAGCACAGTGGCTCACACCTATAATCCTAACACTTTGAGACACTGAAGTAGGAGGATTGCTTATGCCCAGGAGTTGGAGGCTGCAGTGAGCTATGATTGATTGCACCGATTGCTTTTGAATAATTCTTATTTTGCAAGAACTGAATATGATCTGGATATGTAAAAATTAATGAATTTCATTAAGCTTTCTATTAATAATTCAAAATGCTTTTGTAACAGAGGGAATGGCCTGGAAAAAATGGCAAAAATATTTTCTGTCTCTTTAAAACATCTTCCATTCCTTTTTGAGAATTGAAGCCCACATTCCTGCCTCAGGCCAGTGGTTGGTAGGGGCAGGGTAAGTCTTTTGTTTATTTGTGCAACAGGAGATGGCCCAGCCCAGACCTGGTAAAGGGAGGTCCTAGGCCAAGGTCATGGGATTGTCTTCAGAGAGATGGGAGGATCAGAATCATCAACTATAGTTGAACAGTAATTGCCTGAAGCTGAGAACCCACCCTTTAAAAGCTCGTATTTCTGCAAATGTTCAGAAAATTTGGATTTTGAGACAAGGAGGTCTATCATTTTTCCCCCTTTGCCTGCAAAGTAATAAAATGTCTCTTTCCTTCCTCTTCAAACCACTTGTCCTCATTCTTCTGATCAGGCCTTGTTGCCAAGTGCTGAGTTTTTGGTAACACTTTTAAGAATTAAATTAGTTAAAATTCTAATCATTTTAATATGAGGTCTTCTCTTCAGGTTATTCTTGTTTGTTATACATAAGGAACTTTAAAAAATAAGAAACACTGCTCTTAATCCTGTCATAGTAACATTTTAACCATTTTATTTTTCTATATTCCCTTTTCAGTAATCACCCACATACATACATTTTTAATAGGGTTGGAAATCTGTCTAGATACAATTTTGTATTCTGATTTTTAAAAGATTAAGTCAGGCCGGGCGCGGTGGCTCACGCCTGTAATCCTAGCACTCTGGGAGGCCGAGGAGGGCGGATTGTTTGAGCTCAGGAGTTCGAGACCAGCCTGAGCAAGAGCGAGACCCCGTCTCTACTAAAAAAATTAGAAAGAAATTATCTGGACAACTAAAAATATATAGAAAAAATTAGCTGGGCATGGTGGCACCTGCCTGTAGTCCCAGCTACTTGGGAGGCTGAGGCAGTAGGATCGCTTGAGCTCAGGAGTTTGAGGTTGCTGTGAGCTAGGCTAATGCCACGGCACTCACTCTAGCCAGGGCAACAGAGCGAGACTCTGTCTCAAAAAAAAAAAATAAAAAATAAATAAATAAAATAAAAGATTAAGTCATAGTGTTAGGTAGATAGCGAGGGATTCCAGATCTCGTAGGGAGCGAGACTCTGTCTCAAATAAATAAATAAATAAAATAAAATAAAATAAAAGATTAAGTCATAGTGTTAGGTAGATAGCGAGGGATTCCAGATCTCATAGGGACAAAAGTGGGTGCTCTTGCTCCCATCTTGGTCCTGCCCAACCCTGATTCTCCATGCCTGGGGGGTGGAGGGAATACTCTATGAATCTGCCAATCAGAACTTGGCACACCAGCTGCAAAAGAATGCAGAGGACTTTCTAGCCCACAGGCCAAGCCACATGGGTACCATAAAGTCTGGAAAGTGACCTAGAACCCACATGTGCAGTAAGACTCAGGTCATGTGCCTCCCAACTCTCTAATCAAAGTGGTTCCATAGTGACCTCTGAACCACAAGGGAGGTCTCTATCTGGATATTATAAAATAGGACACAGACCACAGCCAAGTTCTCTCTCTTTGACTTTCCTTTTGCCTGCCCTGCTGTGACAATGGGTCTGGTTGTCTTCCATGGCATATGTACCATGCTCTGTAAACCTATATTGTGCTGTTGCCCTATAATCCTATCTTTCTCTCCTCAATAAACCTCATTTTTGTGCTTGCCTAACTTCGGCATGTCTGCTCATTCTTTGGCTATGAGCGTGCCAAGAACCAAAGGTTTCAGACTGAAACCTAACAATAAGGCTGGGCACCGTGGCTCACGCCTATGATCCCAGCACTTTGGGACACTGAAGTGGGAGGATTGCTTA